GTCCTGGCTGAGATTAGCTTTCCCTACATCCACACTGGCTGATGGTCTCCTGGGAACTTCAGAAAACCCTGAGGCCTGGCAGCTTGCTGGGGGAGAGGGCTTCCCAGGGAGTTCTAGGAACCTCAGCTCTGCAGAGGAACAGCTGTGTCTCTCGATGGTTCTATCTTGCTGACAGCCAACAGAGGCCTGACCAGAAGCCAGCCTGAAATGTTCTTGCCTCTTGTTGCAGCCTACAAGGCTTCATGGACACTGAACCCGAGAGGCAGCCAGGAGGATGCCCTGTGAAATCTGGGTTTCCCACTAAGCCACGAGCCTATAGTTTCCTGTGAACAGCTGCTGAGCACTAGAGTGTTTATGGGAACTGGGGAGAGGCGAGGCTGTGAGCGAGTGCTAGAAGGCAGACCCAACACTGTGACTGCTCTCGTGCTTCTCAGTGCGCTGGGATTCTAAGTTTGTTCCACTTATCTGGTGAGTACCATACTTGATCTTGTACAGTTTTTGTTTTTTAATTTAAAGAAAAAATTTAAAATGTCTGTCAGTCTTACTTTAACTAACCCCCTGAGACTATATCTGGTCCCTTCAGTACTTCGTTCCTTATGTCTGAAATGGCCTTGACAACTCCCTTATCTCTTTGGAGAAACTATTCTTCCTTTAGGACTCATTCGACCATCCTTTCTTCTAACAAGGCATCTGTAGTGTAAGTAGCCCTTTCTCGGGGTTTCTGATTTTAGTACAAACCATATTTTGTCGTCATTAACTGCTTCCTTTCTCACTAGTCTATGAACTTCTTGAGGGAAGAGATCACCTGACGACTACCATCGGGGACCACAGGTTCGGGCATAGGACAGGCGAGTAGTTCTCAGAACATGGTCCCGTTAGTGCCTGTTTGAATATCACCTTGGATGTCAGTTCTAGAATAAACACAATCTGTGTGTGGGGGGGTGGGGGGCAGAGAGTCCACCTTTTTAACAAGCTGCCCAGATGATTCCTTTCCACAATGAAGGCTGGTAATTTTTATAGTAGGCTCTTGACAAATGTTTGTTGATTTATTGATACGGACATTTGTGTCTTGGAAACAAGATTTAGGTCAATGATTCATTCTTTACGGTCAGTAGCTTTCAGAGAAGCACGTACTTCCCAGATTACTTTTTTCAGGTGCAGCCTAAATATAGCCTCGACTCCATTCACTGAAAACACCAAAACGTCACCATTTAACCTTTTTAAAAAGTGTATTTCTCTATAGTCATCTGCTTCCTAACACCCATATATTAGGGGGAACGTTTCTGTTCAGATAGAGACTGGTTGTGCACAGATGCGTGAACCGGTGGTAGTGATGGAGATGGGGCGGGGCGGGGGGGCGTTGATGGGAAGCAGCGTCCTGGTTCCCTGTAATATGTATGTCCTGATCCACAGAAGGGTCAGAGTCAGGGTGATCTGTAAAGAAGTTTGTCTTATCATTAAGAATTTGCAGAGGGTTTTCAGGGGTCTGGGGAAGTTCTGAAGCACAGATACTTTATAAACAGTTGAGAAGGTTTTGACTATATCTGGATGGGATTTAGAGTGATGACTAGCATTGACAGGGTGCCAATCAGGGCTGTGAGGATTGGAAATCTACTCTATTAGAATCACTTAAAAAGAAAGAGAAGGTGGAGTGATCAGACCCAGAGTAATACTGCTGGCATCTCTTCTGAGCTATTTGCCTATCAATAAAAATGCTTTTGATCCATTCTTCATAACAATAGCTAGTGGTTTCCAAAGCTTTGGTACTAAATCAAAAGTACTGTCTCATTCTATCCCATATAAGGTCAGTACATGCCAAATCCAATGTGTAGGCCAAATGTGAAGAGGACTAGGAGTTCGGGCTTAGATGCTAGGCAACATCAGGCTGACCTAATGTGTAGCTACCATGGAGTTATGAGCTATAAAATAGTCCCCTGTATTGCCCTCCATAATCATGTAATTCTTTTAGGTCTAATTACATGTTAACCTGTCTTTACAAGGATTGGTTATAAAATAATCCAGAAATCACAATAATAAAGTCCTTTCTAAGGGCCCATCTTTTTAGCTGAGTTGGAATACAGCACTTGATCCCCATTAATTGTCAAGCAGAAAATTAAGCAGAATGGTTGAACTCTCAAGGGACTCAGAATCCAAATCTGCAAAACTCCAAATAATACCAATGAAATCCCACTGATCTTCTGTTATGTATCTACCTTATGTCTTAAAGACTCCAGTTTTATAAAAAGGACATGAGAATGTGTAGGAAGAATACATAGTTTTGCCCAGCTAGATTAGTGTCACAAATAATCACAAATAATTAGCATTACTTGTTGTTTAGGAAGTTCTAGCCTCAGTTTTATGGTCTCTATATATGGAATCTATTTGAATAGCTTATTTCACTCCCTGCTTCTCTTCCAGGAAATCAAGATTTATGCCACTGTGCATTTTTATGTAACATTTGTGTGTCCCAAGAGGGTGTTATCTGAATATATTTGCATATAGCATATACTATAGGTACCCAGATGTGATAAAGATTTTGCTAATAAGTATTTCCAATTCAAGGGAGATTTTTGCTATGCTCCTGGCCTTCTTAGGCTGACTTGGAGCAGGCCCACTATACCCTGTATCTGTATGGGTTTAATTATTCCAAGGGAAGATTCTGGGGAGATTGCAAAGAGTATTCCTGACCTCTCCAGATTCAGAAGTCCAGGGGACTCCCAGAATCATTCTACCTACAAGTGTTCTTCAGAAAAGAGTATCCCCAGCACCAGAAACTTCTTTCTCTGTGTAGCCTGATCCAAAGCAGTTTGGAATCCACATTCTGTCATTCTGTCCCTGTCACAACATTTAACTAAATTCCAGAAGCTGCAGGAGAAGTCTTTTTGGTCTCAGCATTCAGGTTTCTACAAAATATGGATGGCCAAACTCACTTAGCAGAGAGGCACACTTACTGGCAGGATCCATTTTGCCAGTCTTAGAAACTCTTTTCTACCTTGTCATTCCACTGGATGATTACTCTCTCTGTCTGACGACAGAAGTATAAGTACCTCAATATTTTGGGGGAGGGTGTGGGTGGGGAGCACATCCGTTTTAAAATTTCCATTAAGGTAGATTAAGATAAAATATCAAGGTAGAGAGGTAATGGAGAAATGAAGGGAAAAATACCTCCCAAGTTTATTTTAATCAAAAACTTGAGTCTCTAGCCTCCCTTTTCATATATTGATCAAAAGAAGTGTCAAATGCTAATATAGGTAAACCAGTTCAAAAGACCAAAAGTGAGGGGAAAAATCTTGGAAAACTTAAGAGTTGGTTGTGCCTGCTTCTTACTGAAGATTCCGACTAAATTTTTTCTTTCTAATACACTTTTGAATTTTCTAATACTAAAGACCTCAGCAGAGATAACTTGTTATAAATTATCTACTCCTATTAACCTGTGTTGTGTAAAGCAGATCATTTCTTAAATTTTGAGGTAGCTGGTTGAAAAAAATGTGTGTGTGTAGTAACTACTTAGGAGACATTGTAAGTGAACTGTGTTCTCCAAGTAGAACATACAAGGAGAAGCAATCTTTATGAGAGGCATGAAATTTAAAAAATGGGGACTCATTCCCATTTTTTTAAGCTTCAAGTGGTCTGTATTATTCATACTTAGAGAAGGAACATTTACTGCTGATCATCATGTGCTTTGTTCATGCCCCAAAATCATGGGGGAGATCACAACTTTGTCACACTTAGCAAAAGAGAAATAGTTGTCAGTGTTTGACACATTTTCCAATAGAAGAAAAATCCAGTTGCCAACTACATACAGGTTCATTTTGGGTTCCTGGAACTGATAACACATCAGCATGTCTTATGAAACCTGTGCATGGCACGTTATTACAGCTGTATATCATCAGAAAAAAAAAAATTGGTTTTCCTTGGAGTATCTCTAAGTTGATGTCATATTCAATAACCCTGTAGTTGAAAAATCTATATATGATGGATGAAGTTTGGACTATCTTGAATTTAATTCCTCCTCTGCCAGCTTCTACAGGCCCTGGTGTACCTGTCATTTTGAGGTGGGTGCATGCATTATTTAGAAAATGTAACCAGGTGTTACTTCTGCCAGAATACCAACTATAGAAGAACAGTTTGTCTCACATGTACAACAGCCTCATTCTTCACTCTTAACTGTGCCAAGGAGGAACCATTTTAAACTTGGAACCCCACACCAGGGTCAGTGCCAAGGCGTAGCTTGAATGAATGCTGTGCATCACAGAGTGAGGACTTTGGAGACAGCCCTTAAACATACCAGCTTTTAAAGTGGAGTCCCAGGCACATCACCAACATATTCTCACAAGGAAGAGTTCTTGAGGTTAAGTACTACTTCTGGATCTGCTCATGAGGACTCTCAAAAAGAGACCAGTTAGAGCTTTGACTCTGGTCCAGACCACTCCCCCCACCCCCCCCAAAAAATGCCAACCTAGTTGTATTTTGTGGGGCAAATAAATTTTTCCTTCCTTTCCCCTTCCTTAGTCGCCAGCTTGTTTTATTTATGTTGGTTAAATGGATCCAAATTTGGGCAGGGAAGCCTGGATTAGTCTAGCAGTGGTAGTCCAGATGTCCCTATATCATCAGCATTACAGGGATGACCTCAGGATGCACCCTTTCTTGAATCTGGGGATCTGGCTTGATTTGGAACTTTCAGGCAGGATGCAACCTGGCCTTCAGTTGGAAGCTATGTGTCCAAATTTTGGAATTCAGATTTGCAACATGTGAGATGCAAATTAATCTGTCGTCTTATAATCAGTTTTATGTTGTACAGCCAACTAATACACATGGTTACAGAAGAGCAAAACCCCTTAGTTTGTATGTCCCTAATTTGAAATGTAAGTATAATATAATCTTGACGAAGTTAATCTCACTTCTGACCAGAAAGCAAAGCTGTTTCAATTGTTAACAGGTTGGAGGTGAATTACTTTAATATTATTTAAGACAAAGGATGAGGAAAACAATTTCCTTACCGATTAGCAGAGCTTCTTTCTCTGATTTTAAGCCTTGGCTTCTTTTTTCAATATTGTTCTCTCGGTCTTGGTTGACCAATGCGACTGTCAACACATTGATTTCCTGAGGTTAAAAAACAAAAAACATATAGGCATGCATGTAGATTTTGTGCATTTCAATAAAAGCCACGAGGTCTTTTCATCTCTATTAAAAAAAGGTCATCACTTCATTTGTAACTGAACATCAGCTTTTATAAGTAATTGATCTATGTGCCCAACAATAGAAAAGTAATAACTAAAACTTAGGTGCCTAGCTACTACTCCCAGCAAACCACGTAACTATGCAAAAGTGGCAAATTTGGCATAAATTATCTTAGGTTTTTGTCCATGTTTTGATTAAACTCTGTTAGCAAAAACAATTTGACTGTAGCTACTTTAACATGTTTTTATTTCAAATATAAAAAACTTCCCCCAAAGCATGTACAAACTGATTTATATAACTATGCTAGTAACTTGTATGAGTGTGTGGGGAAATAGGATTGTTATTAGAAGTGTTTACGGTGAATGAGTATATGTCCTTATACACAACTGCGGAAGGTAGATAAAGCAAAGGGTGAGAAATTCTTTTCTTTGGAAACTAAAAATGAAGAATTGTACAACAAACCAATAACATGTGGAACACTGAAGTTGAACTATTCTTAGTTCTTTCTGTGGTCTATTTTATTTAGAAACAGAGAAAAACATTTAACTCATTCTCCCAGACTTGTATTAGGACTCAGAATGGAGAATGATTTAATAGAAAATCAAATGTAATGATCAGAGACGTATATATATGGGTTAGAATCATTAGGGTAGTTGAGTTTTGGAGAAAAAATTCTCACTGAAAGATAGGTCTCAAAGAAGGATGAGCATATTGAGCAAAGAGTTAAGGATACTCCATTAGATGATGCTACAAGTCTAGAGGTTAGTAGGGAGGGACAAAGGAGAACTGAGAAGGTCTGGGCAAAAGATTTGGCAGGTGTTACCAGGACTGGAACTGGTTATAGATATTGATCTAGTTAATACAAATAAGTAAAATTGGCCAGATAAAAGAATATAGGAAATTGTTGGGAACATGTTGAGCATGTAAAGAGCACAAAGCCCCTCTGAAGTCATTCAAATAAAAGAAAAAATAAAAACATCAGTGTACATCAATCACAAAAGTTCTACAAGCTGAATTTAAACTACGAGCTGCTACTTTGTAAATCAGGGGTAATTAGAAATTGCCAGGAAAGAAGGCTCTGCTAAGAAATTGCAATTGGTAATATTTGGTGAGTGTTTTGGAGGTTCCTCTAAAGGTCAGTCTTACCTGCTGAAGACAGAGTAAGAGGTGTAGATGGGTATAAGGTAAGGAATTAAGGGAATCACAGTGATGTGATAATAGATCAGAGGAAGATGCTGGTTGGCTAAGAGGGTACCAGTGAGGCCTGAAGCTCATAGCAGTAGTGTGCCCATGAGGACAGGGGTCAGAAAGGGCTTAAGGAATGGTCCATAGCAAGGCTGGAGCTGGCTGGATATAAAAGAACGTTAGAGGGCGCCTGGGTGGCTCAGTTGGTTAAGCGACTGCCTTCGGCCCAGGTCATGATCCTGGAGTCCCAGGATCGAGTCCCGCATCGGGCTCCCTGCTCGGCAGGGAGTCTGCTTCTCCCTCTGACCCTCCTGCCTCTCATGCTCTCTGTCTCTCATTCTCTCTCTCTCAAATAAAATCTTTAAAAAAATTAAATATAAAAAAAAAAAGAACGTTAGAAATGAAAGATGCTCTTACACTTCCAAAAAGGGATCTTGGGAACCAGCCCCAGGAGAAACACAATCCAGAATTTTAAAACCAAATAAACCCAATGATTTATGTAGATGAACTCAGAAGTTACAGGAAAGGTATAGGAATTCCCTCTGTGATGAAATACCAAATGGATGTATTTTGAAGGCTAGCAGAGGTCTAGGAAGAAAGGGATGGAAAGATAGTACCTAGGATGATGATGGTATCATTTAAGAAATAATGAACCCAAGAAAGGGTGATCTGGGGTGGAGAGGAGCAAGATGGCAGAGGAGTAGGAGACCTAAATTTCATCTGGTTCCAGGAATTCGGCTAGATAGGTAACAAACCATTCTGAACACCTATGAACTCAACAGGAGATCGAAGAAAAGAATAGCAGCAACTCTCTGAGAAGAAAAGCGACCACTTTCTGGAAGGTAGGACATGCGGAGAAGTGAATCCGAGGCGATATTCGGGAGGATAGATGGCGGGGGAGGGGGCCTCCATCAGCCGCTACTGGCAAGTGAGAAAGAGCAGAGCACAACATCGGAACTTTTAGAAGTCTGCTCTGCTGAGGGACGTCGCTCCAGTGGCTAAGCAGGGCATGGAACCCTTGCGGGACAGTGTGGTCTCAGGACCCTCGGGGTCACAAAGACCGGGGGTGCCTGAGTGCGGCAGAGACGGAGCCGAGGAACGGGCTCCCAGCTCGGGATTGCCATAATCTGTGATCCGCGGCACAGTTGGGCTACTGCTCTTCCAGCAGGGACCCAACAAGCGGCAGATCTGGGGAGACTCCACACCGAGTCGGATGCCAGAGATAGAAACGCTTGCTCACAGTCCGGGTGAGCACAGAGTGCAGCCAGAGACCAGGGAGACAGGAGTGATTGACTGCTTTTCTCTGGGGGCACACTGAGTGGGGCCCCGAGTTCTCGGCTCCTCTGGGGTGGAAATTGGGAGGCCGCCATTTTCACTCTCGGCCTCCAAAGCTGTACGGAAAGCTTGCAGGGAACAAAAGATCCTGAGACCAAACCTGAGCAGATTACTTAGCCCGACCCGGCAAGGGTGGGGCAATTACGCCTCCAGCAAAGACATTTGGGAACCATGGCAACAGGCCCCTCCCCCAGAAGATCAGCGAGAACAGCCAGCCAAGACCAAGTTTACCGATCAGTGAGAACGGCAGAACTCCAGCAGTAGGGAAATACAGGACATAGAATTCATGGCTTTTTCCCCCATGATTCTTTAGTTTTTCAAAGTTAATTTTTTAAATTTTCTATTTTTATTGAATTTTTCTAAAATCTTTAATTTTCATTTTTAGAGTGATATTCTATCGCTTCATTGTAGTTAACATTTTATAATAAGATTATTATATATATTATACACACACAAACACACACTTTAAAATTTGGGGATACGGTTTCTTCTAAAAGACCAAAATATACCCTAAATCTCTAGTGTATGGCTTTGTTCTAGTTTCCTGCTTGATCATTTTTTTTTCCAACCAACTTCTTATCAATTCCTTTTTAAAAATCTTTTTTACTTTTCATCTTTAGTCATATTCCATATCTTCATTGTATTTACCCTTATTTTTGTATATATATGTCTTTAAAAATTTGGGAGGCAGTTTCTTTGAACAGACCAAAATACACCCCAAATCTAGTGTGTGGCTCTGTTCTATTCACCAGCCTGATGATACTCTTTTTTACTTTTTTCCCCTTCTTTCCCCCCCCAATTCATCCATTTTTCTCTGGACAAAATGACAAGATGGAAAAACTCACCTCAAGAAAAAGAAAAAGAGGCAGTACAGACTGCCAGGGACCTAGTCAATATGGACATTAGTAAGATGTTAGAACTAGAGTTCAGAACGACGATTATAAAGATAGTAGCTGGGCTTGAAAAAAGCATAGAAGATACTAGAGAATCCCTTTCTGGAGAAATAAAAGAACTAAAATCTAACCAAGTCAAAATCAAAAAGGCTATTAATGAGGTACAATCAAAAGTGGAGGCTCTAACAGCTAGGATAAATGAGGCAGAAGAGAGAATTAGTGACATAGAAGACCAAATGATGGAGAATAAAGCTGCTGAGAAAGAAACAACT